TATATAGATATATTCATTGTGAATATAATTCTTTATGGAATGATTCAAATGTTATATGAGGTTATACAGATCATGCTATATACATAACAACATGCAACATTTAAGCAGCCGTATACACATCATGCGAAGTTTTTAGCAAGGTTTGAAAGATTAGGAAAACAGTAGAAAAGAGAAAAAAGAAAATGAGTGAAACTTACCAAAAATAATATCTTGCTCCCGATTTCTTTAGAAGTGTGGTTTTGGTGAACAAAATTTATTATAAATTTTGTCGTAGAGACACACTCAGATGAAGGCGTTAAACAAAGAGAGACACAGAAAAGTAGAAGAGCGCCATTCAATTCTACTTTGCCAGACTACGAGGGTACAACGACATTTCAGAGACAGCACAACACCACATGACCCGATATAAGACACATATTTAAAACACATCAAGGCAATCAACACAAAAGAAAAAACACCAAAAAAAAGAGAGTGAATTAAATCGTGCTTGATTTCCATTGATGGATGCAAACACACTTAAATATATTTCATCTGCAGTTGGAGGAGGGGTATAATATCTGTTACTGTATTCTACCTGTTATTATAGAATAGTTATAATATCTGTTGCATCTAATATCTGCTGCCATGTTTTTGTTAAACCTTTTTCACATGAGCAGAATAATTGACAAGTTGACAAGACTTAAATGTCATATATTTTGATTTTATTAACCAGATTTATATTTTTATTTTTTTATTACTTTTGCAAATTTTTTTCATACCAGATATGTCATGATATTATTATTCAGTACGGTAATTTTTCTACGTGTAGACCTTGAATACTTATTGCTCAGTTACTTGAAACTTTTGTGAGCAATTGAACGCTTTGAAACAAACACCACTCTCAGAAGATATTTCATCTGCTACTAAAGGAAGGGTATAATATGCGTTGCAGTATTATATCTGTTATTACAGAATAGGTATAATATCTGTTATATCTATCATAGATGATATATTTTTTTTGTTGATAAAATGTATTTGAATGTTTTCCCTTAGATACTACAGTTTTAGCTGCATAAGATAACTTAAATGTACGATATCAAACTATATTCTAATTTATTGATGGAACCTGTAGTATGGCAGTTTATATTATAAAAATAAAACATGAATATAATGTATACAAACTCATTTCTTTTAATCTTGAAAGCATTTTGAATAGGGTATATTCCCTTAAATGTTGACTGAAAAAATAAGACTTCAAAACTACCTTAATATATGACTTTATGTGATAAAATTTAGTAAATAGAGTAAAATTTGGTAAATTCATCATGATTCCTCAGAGCATGGTATAAAAATTATTAATTCGGTTGTCTTTATTTCTCAGTTTTGTATTTTTTAATACATTTTTGATAATAAGAACTATAATTTTGAAAACCAGAATTCACAGTAAACTGTTACCATATGAAAGGAAAAATCATCAAGTGAATGACTTAATCGTATATTTTAGTTTTATTAAACAAAAACGTTTATTTTATTTTATTTATTTATTTTTATTAGAAATGTCATCAATATAAAGTACGGTAATTTTACTAGAATTCATTTATCTATGTGGATTTTGGGAAGTAGAACGACGTGTAACAATGGCTATTCCAATGGATAAAATACAAGAAAAAATACTTTTTCTTAGGAATGCAACCTTTTATTAACTTAACTACGTAATCTTTAGCTTCATACCTCTAAAAAAACCAAAAATAAGTTTCTTCATGTTCATATCGTTCCTGACTTTTAATTATATCTGATAATATTTATAATGGTAGAATTAGTGTATGAAAAATTTAAACTTGTAAAATGTTTTATACAATAATTTCTAAAAGCATTTTATGAAGTAGAATATATGATTATAAAAACATTGCAATCTTAAATTGTACACATAATAGTATTATTAACGAAAAAATTGAAGCATTTCGACGAAACATATGAAGATGTGTATGGTTTCGAAATAAAAAAAAAACTACACAATTTCCGCAGCTTCAACTCCCTTATTTTTTATTTACACAAATATTTATGTGAATTCAGATCAAAAGTTATTAAGAAGGATAAGGTAAAAATTGTTAGGAATACATATTTGAATGATCAAATGTTGAATTAATTAGTTGTTTGTTAAAAATGAATGGAAACATATAATATCCAATTAAACATATGTATAACATATGTATAACATCTAATTAACCGAACGCTATTCCATACATGTTAGCTATAATAGTTAAACGTTAAAAATGATAAAATTTATTTATTTTAAACACTTACACCTTGAAACTGAATTTTTTGAACTGTAAGAGATTTCGAGTTAATCAGTATTGATCAATTAAGTGCATATTCTAAAAGCGTGTCATTTTATTATTAAAATGAAATTGTCCTCATAACATTCCAACTATTGTCAAACTACCAAATGCTGGATGTCTATATATATTTTTCATATTAGAAAATCATATTTCAAAGTTATAGAGGACTTTAAAAGAATGATAATTAAATAGTTTTAACTACAATAGATTTCGTTAAATAAAAAAAAGAAACTTTTTAAATTATAAACATTTTAGAGGATTCAATTGTTTTCCAAATTTGATTTACAATATATTCAATTTGTAAAAGTGATTAAAGATACCATGTAGTTATTTTTATCTAACATCTTCGATATAAATAGTAACTTCCAACTAAAGATTAAAAGAAGATATGCTTCTGTATAACTTTAATTTATTCTGATTGAATTTTAAACTGAAGAGGTTTTATTGCATGAATTTAATTTATAGTCTGTCAACCACTATCAATACAACAGTATTAATTTAATCCACTTCAACAATGCTTATTTTCCACATAATAATTTTTTCTCAAGTTCTTTATGACTCACGAAATATATACTCACAATATATATTATGTTCACAAATAAAATTAAGTGTTTTCAAATTTATGAGAATCATTTACCAGATATGTGTTATTAATGTGGAGCTAGTTATGCATTGAGTGTTTTAAGTTCAGCTTTAAAATAAAATATCAGTGATTTTGATCGAGTTGTATTAAGTTTTTACGTATTTTTTTCTTAAATAAAAGGAATATAGTTTGAAATAGGGATAAATCCCAGAGTTTAAATTTTTTTTTACATTTTACGTCATTGATATGTCATTGATATGTTACGTCAAGAAAGTGACTAAAGTTTTAAAAGTAATTAAAAACTTACAGCTTGTAAAATTTATATTCCTGATTATCATTATATAACCTCATGCAATCATATAATTTTATTTAAATATCCTTCATATAAATACTTTTATACTTCAAGCAAATTAATTAAAACAAATAAAATTGATCATAATAACAAATCGAATGATTTCCAGATTAAAAACACAGTTTTACTTAATAAGTGTTACATGTAGTATTTAATTGAACATAATTGCATATGGTACGAAAATGTTACCTATAAAACTTATGACTCCTTGAAGTAACTGAAGTATAAATACTCAAAACTATTATGATTAAAATACAAATACTATAACCTATTATGATACTTTAGCACAAATTCTAACATCTTGAAAAAATGTTTCAATTTAACTATTTTGAAAAACAACAAATTTAGAAAATTCTTTTTTATTACTAACTATATTAAGTATTTAAATGATATATTGTCCATACCAGTTTTGTTTAAACTTTAAACCCAAATATCGCGTTATGAACTTAAAAAAGAATGTATTTAAAAAAAGTAACTTTTTAAAAAAAATAACAAATAAAGCATAAATTCTAAGATCTTCCACTGACGGTTCTGCACATAAAAAGTCGCATTTTAACCTGCAGTCTTCTCTGCATAGCAAAACCGGTTTTCCCATGTTAACTGATAGGGGAACTGTGTGAAGGGGTTAACGTGAAAATAACTGATTGATTTTAACAGCCTTATTCATTTTAAGTTTTTTTGAGCAAAATAGCTTATATAAAGTATAATAAAAGATGGTTGATTTCTGTTACAATTTCAAATTATAAATTGAAAGTAATCTAAAAAACCCAATCTAGAATAGTTATAAACATTTTAATCTTAATACAAAATATTTAACTAAGGGAATTTTTCAGAAATAAATAATCGAGATTTATATTTTCGTATAAAATAAAAATATCAAAATGAAACCTCGCGTATTGCAATTGAATTAGAATGCTAAATTTTCTAGAAAATAAATTCATACAAATATATGCATGTATTAATAATTTCATTTACCTCTTTCTAGAACATATTTTAGAAATAAGTCTTTAAGATTTTCACCGAAATAACAAACCTTAGTTCATCAGAGATTTTTTAAAATTTTTATACAAATAAATTATTCTGTTTCTATACAGTTCACATTAAATACTTTTTGCTTTTCTGGTTTTCAAACATATTTTAATGAAGAAGATAATGTAACTCTAACAGTTTAAAATTTAATATATATTCACATTTTAAGTTATATAAGAGAAAATTCATTGATAGAGACATACACAGAAAAATTAAAATCCTAAAGAATATTTAAAAATAGCACCATAATTGGCTTAAATATAAATCATTCATTATTTCAAGAAAATATACCTTTCAATAATAATTTTTATTTAGTCATTTATCACTCCAAAGTATTTAAACAGTCTTAATTTTATCGTATTGGTAAATATATATTATTTAATTTTTAAACATCATAATAATGCGGGCCACATTAATTGTAAGGAAAGTTAAAACATACTGCATAAACTCTTGAGGTTTTTAATAATTGTGCATATAATTTGATGATAAGCTATTTTATTCAAGTAAATTTGCTTTTAATTTTTTTTCGATCTGTACGTAAAAACGATATGTTTGCAGTTAAACAATTGTATAAATTTTCGTTAAACTGTCGTTGCAGTTTATCGTTATATGCACTTTTACACTTCTTATTTCTTTGTTTTTAAACTGTTTTTGATAAAAAAATATTTGTATATTTTTTAGCTCTGGATACGAAATAATAATAGTAAAAAATACTCACGTATGCAGGCATTTCATGTGTGTCCGAATTTCTGTGATGATAGTTGAGGACAACGACCGTCATGACAACTGAGAATGCCACCATTATCATTATACAAGCGAAATATGTTCCTGAAAAGTTTAAAGAAGAGCGTATTTGCATTGATTTAAAGTGTAATGATTACATAAATTAGTTATGGAATAAAAAAAGACACTTTATGAATTATAGAGATAAAAAATAATTTTTTTGCCAAGTATACTGGTAAGCAGTTTAAAATTTTTTAGAACGTTAAAAATTTAAAAAATAAATAAATAAATAAGAAATATAGCATGATGAAAAAAAAGTTAAACTTAAGTTCTTTATTAAGCACAAAATGTATTACTTTAATTATATCTTTTTTATTTATACTTTAGACAGAGTTAAATGAAACCTTTTCTGAATATGAAATGATAACTGAATAAAATAAAAATTTAAATAAAGTAAAAATTTAAGCAAAATAATCAGTTTTAATTTGGATATCGTGTATGATGGTAGGCTTAGTTTCAGTAACTAAAATTACTTGTCGATAAAAAAATGCATAAATATTTGAAAGAAAAGTAATGGGATATTAAAATCATAAATAAAAGAAATATGATTTAAATATAATTATTCCATTTCAAATATACTACTTTAAAAGTTTTAAGTAATTTATACATAGGTAGTAAATTGTTTTGAACTAGAACTATGAGTAAAAAATTGAAATATTAATCAATGTATCATAATATTTAAATTCATAATACTTTTAAAATGCATATTGTAAAAAATTATTTACAACCATTTTCTTTCTTAAATAATTCAATATCACAATCTAATGTTCTTTTTCAGTTATTGAATGAACAGAATTTTAAATAAAAGGGAGTTTTATTAACTATATATTAGCAAAAAGTTATTTTTAAAAGAGAATAGGAAATAAAATGATTTTAATTTAAAAAATAATAAAGTCTATTGTAATATGAGTATAATTGAGATTTCCTTAGTTTACCATTCAATATATATTTTTAAAAAAAGACTTTCTTTTTAAAAAGAATCAAATCCTTTTAAAAAGGCATTATTTTGTTCCCATTACTTCCTTTTTATTATAATAATAACAATTATAAACTTCGTTTTCAGCTTAATACTACAAGCTACGATTTCTAAATCTAAACACAATGCATACCACATAGAGTAATATCTATGTCTACGCATAATCTATGTTCAGCTTACTACTTTATGTCTACGACACATATCTATCTATTCCTAGTGCTTTGGCTTACCACAAATTTTCCTATTACAACATACGTGCAAATAGCATGCAAAAAACATCAAGATGTATTGTAATTATAGTTTAATTTGAACAAACCATGCTGGTGCTTTTAACAATGTTGTAGCATTTTAAGCCATTTTACATTTAGTTTGCTAATCATTGCCTATGTTATTATAATCCTGCGGAAAAAAAAGATAACCATATAATTTACGATGCACGGTATGTAAATCTTTGGTATCCGGAAAATCCCCTAAAAATGTACAAAACATGAATTGTATACATAAAAGAAAAATTGTGTATTTATTAACGCACTTTGAGAAATACTGTACTTTATGATCACATATAAAGCATACTGGCTATACTATATATTGATTTTAATTTATTTTGTTAGAATAATATCTGTAATTTAGGCAAAAACTGCTAAAATAGTTTTAAATAAAATTAACATATTTAATTCAACACAACTAATTTAAAATAAATTAGCATAAATTGAATAATTTGCATAATTCTTGTAAATTCACTGTCTATTGTTCATATAATACTTACATAAAAATTTCATTACCATAGTGGACAATATTCAAAATGAAACTATAAAGTTAGTAAGATCTCAATACCTTGATATTCGGGCTGGACATTTGATATTGTTAAAAGTAAATTTTTCAAACTTTAAAGAAACTAAATAAACCCCATTCAAATGCAGTTTAAAAATCATCGTTACTTAAAAAAATCATTATTCTTCTAAGCTAAAATAGGCAAACTTTTCAGATCATAGTCTTTAATTCCTTGATATGCATTTCTCACATCGCTCACACATGCCTACACTAAAAAGAAAGTTTAAGCGTTAGCGAATTATGTTTTGTAAATAATGTAATTTAAAACAAAAATTACTTTAGCAATCAGAACTGTTTAATTTTTTATGTCTATCTTATAATTAGAGTTAGTACAGTTTTGTAGTATTCATGACATTTTCAACAATACCAGTTTTGCTAACAGTGTAGAAATCTAAGAATAGTATTATTAACTATGATAAAAGTATTTATAATTTAAGATTTAAGACGGATTAAGATTTAGCGACTTAATTTCCGTATTTAAGATTTAAGAATTCAGCTATTCGCGAATTATGTTTTGTAAATAATTTCATAAGACATCCATTTAAAAAAAATATTTTACCAATCAGAAACGTTAAAATAATTTTTTATGTCTGCCATACAATTAGAATTAGTTCAGTTTTGTAGTTTTCATTATATTTTCATCAATACCAGTTATGTAAACAATGTAAGAGTATAAGAATATTATTATTAGCAATGATAAAAATATCTATAATTTAATATTAAAAATTCATAATATGAACAATATTAATCTATAAATGAAAAATTAAGTCTTTATCAATAACATTTTATTTTCCGATCTGACTCATCTTAGATTGTAATTCTCTTCATTATTATTATTCAAACGGAAAAGCAAGAATTATCTCACTATCTCATTATAAATTGCACGGAAAGTTATTTGGTCTGTGTTTAACTGAATTTTGTAGATGGAATTTCATTATTATTGAGTTGATTAAGTATAGTTACATTTTCATAGTGCTCTAAGACTGCTTTCGTTCTAAAATTTCTTTTTGCTCCAGTATTCATTGTTAAAACACCACAGCATACGCCTTTGTCAGACAATTTTTATTTCTTGACATATTCTTTATGAAAGCAAACAAAACTAACAACCCGTGGAGTGAGAAACGATTTTTCTTTTTCTACAAAAACACTTTCTTTGCAACCTCACGTAACGGTAATGAAATTGAGTTTCTTTGGGTCAGTTCAACTGAAGATACGGATCTCTTGATTGAGATATTATAGTAACAGAAATATTTCTATTCGAACTTTTTTACTCACGGGTCACGATGTCACTAGAAATCGAATGCAGTTTAGGTGAGAATTCTTTAATGAGTTTCTGCCTCTTACCTATTTGTCCTTCATTTAAGAGGTGGTTTCTTTTCTAATTTTTTTTGTAGTGACATAGGGGCGTTTTGTAGTGACGTTTCTTGATAGTTATAAATAAGTTTTCAAAAAACTGGATTATATGAAGCAAAAGTTTTGAAACTATCATAGATATTTTATATTAAGATATATTAACCTATTAATATTACTTCATATTAGTCTATAAATATTATTTAAATTTATGTTAACTTATATTAAAGTATAACATGAATGGAAAAGTGTGAAGGAAATACTTGCAAATTATTTAAATCAAATTCATTCAGAATTCACTTCATGAGAAATATGTTTTTTTTTATTATCTCAAAACATAAGTCGAGAAATAATAAATAATAATTATATTAATAAATAATAATTAAAATAATTATGAAAATTCTTACATAATGATATACATTTATAGTAATAATGAATCTATGAAACCTAATAAATAAATTTACAGCAGAAATGTAATTAACTCTGTACTGATGTAATTAAGTTTCTTAAAAGCTTTATTAATTTAATTTAAATTTAATAGGTTTAATTGTGTCTTAAAAAGCAATTATAAACTTTATTTATATTTAAAAGCCAGTCTGAAAGAGCTGTTTTGATCAGCTTTCAGAAAATGCTAGCTTCTTAAAAATGTAACTTTCTTATTTATTCTATTTATTAAAAAAACAAGAATTTGCAATTATTTGATACTGTAATCGATTTTTAAACAAGATAAACCTTTTGAATTCATTTGACGAATTATTTTCAGTGAAATATTTTTTGTAACGAAAAAATAAATTTTGATATTTAAATTTTCAAAAAAATATTAGTTTTGTTACTACATTAAATTTGAACAAAATTAAGACAAATTAAAATTATATAATTCATATTATAAAATTGGATTTGAAATATATTACTATATTTTTTGCCCTCTATAAAAAAGTTTAAAACGTGTTGCTACAGAAGTTAGAAGTCGTAAATCTATTTTGTTTTAAGTGATTATTAAATATTTTGCAATACTTACATAGGAAGTTTATAGATATGATTAGTATTTTCATGACTTTTTAATACGGTTTTTGACAAAAAATTTTTGTTTGCAAAAACATTTATTAACTAATTTTTAACTTAATAAGCTTCTTTTTGAATTTTATTATATAGTTTGATTTTGTGTTATTAGTTAAATAATATTATTATTTTAAATTTTCATTTGCAAATCTAAAACAATTCATTTTGCTTAAACTCTCTAAAATCTATGGAGGCGAGAATAATAATGACAAAAAATGTAAATAATAANAATATAATATAATATAATAATGACAAAAAATATAGTTTTAAGCACAGAAAATGACATTTCAAGCTATTATTTTGAATGTATGTTGTACGTATACTTTAAAAGCATCTATCTAATTTTTCTTGAATATTTAACTGATTAATTTCCATATCATCATGGAAAACCTTATAAAAATTCTTTGTTATATTCAACAACCATAACTGTTTGAAGTTATCGAGAAAAGTGTGCAGTCAAATGTATTTTTTTTTAGTTGTCCATTTTTTAGATATTGCATTTTTATTACAACATCTATGATACTAAAGCATTGTATTGTACTGAAATGTATACATGAATTCTTGTATAAAATTAGTTTTATGTAAAACTAAAAAAATAAGACAAAAACTTTATTTTCCATAAACGAAAACTGAACCAAATGATGATAAAAATTAAAATAAGTATTGCTGATTTGATTTATTATTTATTATTATTTCTAATTTCATTCTCAAACTCTGTTAGTTACTTTTTAATCGTTATATTATTACTTCATAATATTTAATGAAATAAAATGCATAGTGGCGTACTATGCTATTTTTATAGCTTTTTGTGTTAAATTCAAAATAGCTT